CCCCCACCCCCGGTGTTCGTAGACCGGCCGCGCGCGGACACGCGACCCAATTCGTTCCCGCGGGCAGGTCGAACGACGGCGACGAGACCTATTGATTTCCGCGGCGGCGGTGCGCGTGTGCGAGCAGAGTTGCGTGCGCGGTTAGCAATACGCGAGCGAAACGAGAAAATCGCGATGTTTACGTGCGTCAAGTCCGCGCCGTCTGGTCCTGCGGTTCGTGCGGTGAAAAACGCGCGCGTGGACGGAGCGTACCGAGCGCGGGGCACACCCCTTGAATGTAGGTCATGCGCGGGGTCAAACACGCGGGCGATCTCGCCCGAACGGGTTGTGGGTGAGGGGTTGGAAGGGTGACGCGTAGGCGGTGTAAGCCGCCGGGTGACGTGACGGAAAACGGTGGACGGCGAAAAACATAAATAAACGAAAAGCGGTTTCCCGCGAACGCGAACCCCTGAAGGGCACGCGCCATCGTCTCGGGCGGAAACCGTTCCGGTGGAACCGCGGGTCCCCGTCGGTTCCAGCGACCGCTGAGAAATCCACGCCGACAACGAGCCGGCCACCAGCTCGCGCTCGCACCGTCCCATGAACTGCAGTGATAATTGTTATACGACGGCGACCACGCCACGTGCACACGCGTACCACGCACACGTACGGTACGGTGCACGTAACCTTACCACGTACAACGTACGACGCGAATACGTGCCGCGAGGGATCACCGGTCCGAAGAGTCGGCGCGGCGGGTGCGCGCGCGATCGATTTCGTCTCCGCGGAGGCGCAATACGTACCGCGTCCTTTACGCGCGCCCTAACGTCATGGCCCTAGGGACGCGGAAACGGGAAGAGGCGCAACGGTCCGCGGCATAGATCCGAACTGAGATTTACGTTCGACCGCATCCCGTGTTCGACCCGGACGTTTTTGTCCTAGCGTTCGAGACGTTCGCGCGTTATCATAATAGACTTTCATGGTTGCACAGCGTTTGGCCGCAACTCGCAGTTCGTAACGTACACGATCACGAAGGTTATGGCCGCAGTGGTCGCGCGCAGGCAGTGGCGATAACACCGGTGCGCGCGCTTGATGTTCTTAATGTTTGTTGTCGCGCGCGATTCGGCCGTACGAGCCAACACGCAAAATGTCGATCGATCGGCCGCCGCCGCCGCCGCC